TGCCCTGCTGTGGCTTGCCCAGCTTCTCCAGAAGCCACCATCCCTTCAGGAGGCTGCTCCCAGCAAGATTGGACATCGGTGGGAGAGCCTCAAGCCTTGCAAGGATGGCACAGCAGAGAAGACCCGCCGTCCATGCAAGGAGCTCAGGCTGTCAGAGAACGTCCATGGTGCCAGGAGCCTCCACTATCTCTGACAGCCTCCATCCCTCAGAGAGGCTCAGCCAGACCTGTCAGCCTGCAGAAGGTGCAGAGCCCAGGGACAGGTCTCCCAGCTCCGTTGGACCCTTGGACTTCAACAACATGGACACATCCCTGAGCACTGACATGGCCAGGGAAAGCCCACAGGTCCAAGTGGGAGCCCAGCCTGATCCAGGGGAGCCGTCTCAGGAGCAGGTGGAGGAGCAGCAAGTGTCCTGGAGCCAGCAGCTGCCGGACCACAGCTCCCAGGTGACGGTGCTGGACGTGCCAGCTGGCAACAGCCCGTGCCTTGTGGAGGAAAAGATTCCCGGGGGACCAGGGAGTTTCCTCTTTCTCCAGGAAGCTGCTCCCATACAGCCACCAAATACCAACAAGGCTTCCGTACCAGCAGGTGAGACCTGAGGAGCTGACTGAGGCTGCCATGGGGCTCTGGAGGGGCATTCGTAGGCCAGGCCAGGGCTTCTGAGAGCAGCCTAGAAGCAGGTCAGAGCAAGGTGGCCGGCGCTGGCTGTGGCCGCTGCACATGCGGACACTCGGGGGGTTCCTGGCAGCATCAGGCCCTGTGATGGAGGCATTGTCTTCTCCTCACAGCCCGACGGCACCTGTGTTCCACTGGAGATCGTGCTAATGGAGAAGGTGGGCTTTGGCTGCCGCAGAATCATCCAGTTCCTCGACTGGCTCCAGCTGCCTGACAGCTTCGTGCTGGTGATGGAGTGTCCAGAGCAATCTCGGGATCTCTTGCATGTCCTGCAGGAGCAAGAGTTCCTGAGCGAGGAGGCGGCACGCTGGCTTTTCTGGCAGGTGCTGGAGGCCGTGTGGCACTGCACCGCCTGCAGTGTCCTGCACCGGGACATCAAGCCAGAGAACCTCCTCATCAACCCGGAGACTGGTGAGATGAAGCTGATGGACTTTGGTTGTGGCACCTTCCTCCAGGAGCGGGCCTGCACACAGTTTGCCGGTGAGCCCAGAGCGCGGGCCCTGCTCCCAGTGCCAGGCACCGCACGGCCCCATTCCCTCCTGGGCCGCGGGGTGCAGCATTCAGCCGGCTGTTGGAGATGGTGTGCGGGTTCCTGCCCTTCGAGAACGAGCGTGACACCGTGTTGGGGCAGCTCTTCTTCCCGCAGGAGGTCTCTCCAGGTTGGTACACGGCCTGAAGCAGGCAGGCTTTGGCAGGTGGCACCGCGCAGCCCAGCCCGGCCCTCCCGCAGCTGCGCGGGACGTCCATGTGCCCTCAAGGGCCGGCTGCAGCAGGTGGCCCGTGGCAGGCTGGGTGTGGCACGCTTGGCTGAAGGAGGGGACGCTTGTCCTGCCGTGCCGCTCTCCCGCCAAGGGCAGCTCCCAGCACACGCAGCGTGGCCCGGCTTCTGCAGGCGCCGGGAGCAGCTGGGCAGGAGCCTCCTGCAAGCGAGCGCCGCTTTCTGCCTTCTCTCCCCAGAGTGCCAACATCTGATCCGCTGCTGTTTGTCCAAGCACCCCATGGACCGGCCGGTGCTGGAGCAGATCTTCTACCACCCTTGGGTGCTGGGTGGGCATTTCTGATGCCTTGGCACAGCCTCTGCAGCACCCAGTTCCCGTGTCCCACGCAGGACTGAGGGCCCAGGAAATAAAACAACCCAAAACCCACTGCGGGCCTGGAAGTTTTGTCCTGGTTAGCAACTTCAGCTAAGGGAACCTCTTAGCAAAAGGGGTAATCAGAGCGTTCCCCTCAGCCTTTGTCAAGCTTTTGGTGCCTTTCCTCCAGGTTGTCCCTCAAAATCAGAGGGGGGTGGAGCCTGCACCAGTCCCCCCAAATCGGTGGGAGACAGAGACTTCTCCCCGGCCCCTCAAAACTGGAGGAGGATGGAGACTATCCCCAGGCCCCCCAAACTGAAGGGAGATAAATACCTGGCAACCCAAAATAAGAGATGGATGTAGCCCAGAGCATCCCCCAAGTCAGAGGGGGAAGAGGAGACTGCCAGCCCCCCCAAAGAGGAGGGGAATTGTGCCTGTGCCAGCCCCACAAATTGCAAGGGGACAGAGAACACCCCTGGCCTGGCAGAGGGCAAAGAGCGGCCGGGGGCTGCCAGGATGGTGACAACACTGGCACCCCCCAAATCAGAGAGGGACAAAGAGCCCGCACAGGCTTCCCAGAAGGAGAAAGGGGGCAGCAAATATCCCCTGTCCCCCTAAGTTGGAGGGGCACAGACACAAAAGGCCCCACAAAAAGAGCATGAGGAACCAAGAGCACTGCTGGCCCCACAAGGGTAAGGAGGATGGAGAAACTCCCCATCTGTCTTTGTTTTGGAGGACAGGTGTCTGCTAGGGAGGGCAGGGGCCTCCCCTGGAATGAAAACTTAGACCCCCTCCCTCTATATTATTACAATTCTGAAATCAAGGGGCTTTCAGGCAGAGATCTGAGGACAGGAATAACAGTTCTTTATTAGAATTTATAACCAGGCAAACAAACAACAATAACTACAGCATTAACAAGAAAACAGAACCAGGGGCTCCGTGACAGCTTTCTCGGCTGAGATGGGATGGAGGAGAGGCTTTGTTTCACAAACCCCCTCGGGCGGGCAGTCCCGGTGCTCCTGCAGGGCTCTGAGGAACACTCAGCTGGAACAGCAGGGATGAGCTGAGATCCTGGGCCGGTGGCTGAGGTGGATCAGCAGCTCCGCGGCGGTGCCTGGCACTGCCACACGTCCCGGCAGGACAGGGGGTGTGAGGCCACCAACAAAGAGGGGAGAAGGAGAAGCAGCAGCAGCTCCATCTGGGTGATGACAAAATTCCCTTCTCTCTACTGCAGCAGCTCCACGCCCAAAGTGTCCTGCTCCGAAACTGAAGAAAGCTCGCCAAACTGTCCCCACCCTCCTTTTTCCTGCCCCCTTCTCCCCCTGGGCCCGGCCAAATTCTTTGTCTTTTGCCAAGCACCCACCAAGTACACACGGTTAGGTTGTCCCCACAACTAATGGGTAAAAATTTCACAGGCAAGCCAGAACTAAAAAAAAGGACACCTAACCCCCAACAGGGTGTCTTAATCCCTCTTAGAGCAAACATTATCAATTAAATGCAACTTCATGTTTAATTGCAGAAGTAGAAAAAAAAGTTCCAGAATTCTAAAACTCCCTTGAAAAATATGTTATTAATATGGAAAAAGGGAAGAAACATTTGGGGATTTCTTCCTACTAAAAATAATCCTAAATGTTTCAAAAAATTTCTAATTTTTAAAAATAAAAATTAAAGATAACAAGGTGGGTTCCCCAAGCCTGACTGCTGCCTGCCCAGCCAAGGCTGTGGCCAGCCAAGCAGCTGTGCCAGTGCTGCTGGTACCAGCCAGACCCCAGAGCAGAAGCCCAAAGGTGTTGCTCAAGCTCTGCCTTGGCAGGAGGGTCCTGCCTTCAGTCCTGTCCAGACACCAGGGCCAGCACTTTCAGAGACAGAGGGTCCTGGTCTGGGTGGTGGCCGCACAGCAATAAGCTGATAACTCAGCGTTGGCAAGGAAAACAGACACGGGCTTGGAGATGCAGGAAGAGAGGTGCAGTTCTCCCTGACTGAGTGTAGTGATTAACATTCACACTGTTATAAATGCATATCATATTATTGGCTTTTCGCAAATATTATAAAGAATGTTATATGTATAAGATTAGAAAATTTTTTTGTATTAATATGGTTTCCTTAATTTCTGTTATTGATGAAACTTTGAAATAGTGGTATAATACATATATGTTAAGCTTTGGCATAGTATTAAAACAAAAACTACTTTAGTTTGTATAACCTAAAGACTGCAAAAGATAGCTGGAGACTCCCCCTACATTCAGAAACTATCTTATCCAGATGAAGACAGCAGTGACCAGAACTCTGGGGGAGGAATTTATTGCATTTCTGTTATCAGGAAATGTAAATCTCGTTGGCGCCAAGAAGATTGATCTATTGGGAAGGGGGCAAGAGAAAACTAAACAGAAGAACACTAAAGATCCTAAGAAGAATGTATGAATATGCATGAGAATTTATGGATATGTATTAGGATTCTGTTTTTAAGGGACAATCCTTTGTCAGTAAGGTGTGCTCTCTTGGCTGAATGCAGAGACACCTGGCTGTATCTATGTACTTTACTTTATTTTTAGCTCCTAGTTATATTTTCATTAAACCTTTAAATTCTATAAGAAAAATATGTGAACCTCATTTTTCACAACACTGAGCTGTTTGGCCGGACATCTGGAGGTGCAGAGGCGCTCCTGTAGAGAAAGAAAGTGGCTGAGGCCCCCAGCTGCCGCTGGCACACAGGGACCCTCCTGCACAGCAGGGCCCAGAGCTGCCAAGGCTCCCCAGCACGGCTGGAGCTGCTGGCACAGCTTGGCCCAGCTGGACAGCTGCCCCTCAAGGCCCTGGAGAGCAGGGGATGGCTCTGGGCAGGGTCCCTGGCCAGGAGCGGGCCCCAGAGCACCTCTGCCTGTCAAGGGCAATCTCGTCCCCGGCTCCTTCTCCTGCCCACCTTGCTTTGCCTCTGCCCGCTGCTCCTGGGGCTGCTCTTGGCCAGGCAGCCTCAGTGGCAGCCAGCACTGGCTGCAGCCCCAGCGGGCTCCCCAGGACAAGGCCCAGCAATTAAGAGGCCAATGAAAGGCCTGGGCAGCAGCAGAACTCTCAGCAGAGTTATTTGGGCAACCAAGGACTATCCACAGGTCTACAGCAGCCTCACTGGGAATGTTTCTATTCTACAATAACTTTCAAAAGAAGCTGTTTGAGGGAAAGATGAACGAAACACTCACTGTTTTCTCTTCCAGGCATACCAGATTCCAACACCGCATAAAACGAAGAAATGCACCAAACAAAGCAGGCCTGCCATTAATTCTAGCCAACAGCGTGTTCCTTGATAGAAACCTCTTCCGATGCCCTTCTGGGAATTGGGAACACGTGTTGTGCTGGCTGCATCTGTGGGAGCAATGGGCAGCGTGAGGCCTGTGCTGTGATCCACTGCTGAGCTGGCAGCATGGTGGGTATGTCCAGGATGTTCTGTTCCCCCAAAGCTGAGGCCTGCAGGCACCTTGCTGTCCCTTGGCACAGGCTGTGACACCCAACAAAGCCCAGAAGGCCGGGAGCAGAGCCCGGGGACAGCGCAGCTTCTTGGGCAGTGGCTCCTTCCAGGGACACGGGCCAAACCCATCCCTGAGCAGCCACTGCCACCCCTGACCCTCCCTGCTCTGTGACAGCTCCCCCAGCCCAAGGGGACAGAGCCAGGCCCTGTCAGGGGCCAGTGCAGCCCCTGCCCAGTTGGGAGCCAGGGCTGGCTGTGGCTCTGGGATCATGGCAGGGCTCCCACTCAGGGCTGCTCCTGTGCCTTGGGCCTCTGGATGCTTAGGGCCAGCTCCAGGAGCAGCTGCAGTGGGATGGACACTGGTGCAGGAATCCCGATTCCCAGGGGCTGGGAATGAGCTCCAGAGGCCTGGAAGCCGAGGCACCTCCAGCTTTGGCTGCTGCCAGGCTGTGCAAGGAGAGGCCCTGTGGGAAGAGCTGCTGGCACACAGCCCCACCGAGGGCTGAGCCCAGCACAGCAATTACCTCCTGTGCCTGGGCCCGTGCCTGCAATTGCCTCCCTTCGTTCAGGAAATGCCGCCTTCCATAGAGCCTCTCTGTCCATCCCTTGAGAAAGGAAGAGGCACAGCTGGATCAGATGGAACCATTACATAGCAGGGAAGTGGCCTCTTCAGGAGGCAGTGCTTGTCAAAGACATGGAAGAGGATCAGGAAAAGGCCCAGGCTCTCTCTTGTCCAAACCACCACCTCTCCTGATCTGCTCAGAGACCAGGAAGTTGCAGAGGATCTCAAGGTGTGCATGGCCCATGGTGCAGTTTGGGTTGCCTGTCTGCTGATGCCAAATGCCTTCCTGCAGAGGCTGGGGAGAAACTGCATCCAGGCCAGGCTGGGAAACAGCCCTGCAGGGCTTGAAAGC